CAAACAATTATAAGTTACAAAGAACTTGGAGATATTTTGTCCCCAGGGGAGAGACCATCGAAAAAGTTCAAAAACAAAAATTCGCATCGCTTACATTTATGCTATTGTTGAAAATATAGAATTTAAGGAAAAATATATAACATAATTGAGATTGCCAAATTTAACACCTATAGATATATCAAATTAGTTTTTTCTTTACTACTTTTTTTAACTTTTGAATGAAACTTAATGCAATTGCTTATTTATTTATTTAATTGCTTGAACTCGCTAGTTAACATAATGCATATTAGTTATTTTATGTAAAACATTTGCTGCTGAACAAAGCTTTTAAATCAAAACCTCTTTATCTATTCTTCTAGAATTCGCTGCATAAAAACAATGGATAACTTTAATTAAAAGTAAATTTAAATGAATTTAACAGCTTTCTCATTTGTTTTAATATTCTTTGACCTTGTTTTTATAATTTTAGAAGAGACTGCACAGCCAAATTGCTTACATTAAGCAAAGTTTCTGAAACATGAATAATATAAAACACATTAGGAAGCAAAGAACAAAGTGTGCAGATGAGAAAGTTTTACGAATTCGCTATTATTTCTTCTCTAGATATCTCTACTTATCGGAAACATCTCGAGTGAGTTCCAACAGCATAAAATGCCTACCACCCGTGTCTAACTTTTAATGTTGTTATAGTTTGACAGTAATTTCGTAATTCGGCTAATGTGGATAAGTTTAATGTAATTAAAGTTAAACAACCAAAAAAATAAATTTTTAGATGTATTCGATTTAAACTTTAAAAATTTGCTCAGCATGGTTTGGTCAACCCTATACCTATACCAATTCCATCTTTGGAGAAATTAAATAATACGTACAATTTTAATTTAAGGTTCTTGTTTCATTTTTATAAATATTTGAATACAACAAGATATAATTAAAACCAAATTTATGAAGAAATTACGGGCATAAATAATAACTTAGAATGATCAAATATAATTAAGCAAAATGAGGATGATGCCAAATTAACATTTGGTCGCATGTTTGTTATGTAAATAAAATTGCTAACATTTAAAAAAAAAACTCTTTCTAAAAATATGCTAATTTAATCAAGAATTTAATTCGTGATAATTACAAAAGCCAGAATATTTTCACTCCCACATTTTTATAAAATACTTAAGGTATTTGACTTAAAACAATTAAACAATATACTTTATGTGCAGCACGCGTTCTGAATTTGAATTTGGAGTAGCATTCTATATTTAATATGCTTTATGCGTTATTATTAGTATTAAATTCGAAACATTAAGTTTACTCGTCACGTCACTTACTAATTATCTTCAGAGATAACAGACACCAATAATAATATCACGTTCATATATATGTAAGGCAACGGGCAAAAGCTCGGAAGTCGGAGGATATTAAATCATAAAATCACATTACTTGTATTTAAGTGTATTAGGGAATTTATGTAGTAGATTCAGGAACAAATACATTGGGTTTGTATTAGAACTTCTTGTGTATGTGTAATGAACAGAATTTGAAGCAAAAATAAGGAAACAAAAAGACTTACGCGATGCAGGTGATTGCCTAAAGGTAGTGTTTGCCAATTATCCTTATTATTTTATTTAGGAAAGAAGAAAAAAGTTTTGACAGAAATATATGTGAATTGGTACGTTTATATTACCAAATAGTTCATTCAACAGTACACACAAATATTAAAATAATATTTAATGAAATAATCAGTTATTTTAGATTCATTGAACAAAAAACGAAATATATACCTCTTTCAAAGTAACTATTTCTTCATGAATAATTAATCAAAATCTTAGAATTCAGAAAAAGACTGAATGAAAAGTATTTAAAAAAAGATGTCTGCAACTATATATGACGATTTGTAATTTTGTTGAAAAACCAAATAAAATTAAATAAAATACATACAAGATAAAAAATAAGAAAATCATCACTGAGAATTTTTTGAACAAATATTCAATAGATGCAAAATATAGCTTATTAGTTAAAAAATGTTCAAAATCAGATAGTTTATAATGTAATTTCATTCTCAATAAATAACAATGCTTGCCAACAATTATAAAGGTAGAATAGACCTAGACCATCCTAACCAATTAACCATGTATATACCTAGAAGGCCAGCCGACCAGGTTTAAAAGAAAAATATCTGGAGACTTAGAATAGTATAACTAACTATAATACTGTCATTTTACTATATTTTATTGTTTTTCCCTTTTGTTTTTAGTTTTTTTTTTATTATTCTTATATTTTAATTAGCTCTAGTAGTCAGCATTCTCTGCTTAATGTAATAATATAATATAAATTTTGCAGAATAAAATTGAATAAAAAAATTCACAATAATGGTAAAAATAACAAAAATTAGCACAAAAATATAAGAATCAAATTTTAATATTTTTGAATATAAAATCCCAAAAAATGTTAATTTTTATAAATAAAAATTTTCTGTCATTTGATCACAGCTGCAAGTTTCAGGATGTTGTTGCTAATTATAGCTTAAATAAATAAAATAACTGTAACGATTTTTATTAAAATCTAATTTTTTATGACGTAATTTTAATTTTTTATTTCATTTAGAAATAAAAAAAATCAGCACACAGCACAGCAAAAATATAAGATTTGAATTTCATTATTCCCATATAAAATGTGTTTGATAAATAAAAGTGTTTCCTATTATTTGATCACAGCTACAAGTTTCAAGAATTAGCTTTTAATTACAGCTTAAATAAATAAGCTCACATATAAAAAATACCTATCAAGTGACTATAATTATTATTAAAATACAATTGTAGATCTTTAAAATATTGTTTTAAGGTTTTGAGAAGCTTTCTAAAAAGTGTACAGATATGTAAAACGACCGAAATAAAATTTCTCGGAAACACTGCACAGAAAATGTCTGAAAGCAATTCACTTCCTTTTTACAGTAGAACGACATTCTGTAATATGTTGAGCATTCGAGCATTCACACGATGATTAAACTCGATATCGTATTGCAGATCAAAACGATCATAATGTAACTCATCTGATATGAAACGATACATCCATGAAAAACTGTGATTAGGATGATTCAATGGAAAAATATGTATTTTATCATATCGGTTATAAATATATGAAATCGAATAATCTACCGTCTGAGAGGATGCTTAAAAAACATTTTTCCTCGGCCACCACAGTACCTAAAGAAGTTGGGGATGTAATGCAAGATATGAAAGCACCCGAGGCTTAAAAAAACAAGCAGAGTCTGTGTTCGAGTAGTTTACACGACTGAACGTAATAGATGTACTGTGTTGATATTTATGTGTTTCTATATACCTACCAGGACGATGTTGTTTGAAAAACAAATTATATTTCTAGAGATTGCCTCACGCAGAATATAAATAGCACAAACCGATATTATATGAAAAATATGTCAGCATTTAGAGATATATTATATTACTCCATAAAAGTGGAACATACTGATAAATAGCGACGTTTTTTGTAAAATACTTTGATGATTTTTTGCTTGAAAAAAAACGATGTACCAAGAGGTAGGTATATGCGATAGAAATAATAATTTGAGTAGCCATATATTCATAAGCGTATTCTGCAATATATTGTCAATTCAATATTCAAACTATTAACGCTATATATTCGTTACATAATGGATTGCTTGTATTTATTCAATTCAGAAATATTTTAGAAAAAATGCCACAAAAATTATTATTTTTATATTTTTTAGTTAGTCCTGTTCTTTAGTTACACTATAAAACTTACTATAAAATTTCATATATATTGCTGATTTATATATGACAAAACCGTTTGTACCAAGAAATGCTGTTGACTAATTAAAATTTTCATTACATTTTATTTTCTTTATAAAAAAGAAGTTTCAACAATGCTATTCCTTTTCTGTTTCTATTGATTATCATTAGTGATAAATGCTAAAACTTTGTATTGCATAGAATTCTAATTAGGTTTCCGTCGGAGAATAAGTATAATGTATAGCTTTGTGAAACATTGCCATGAGATCCGAGTGGACTTGATTACTCATTGAATTGATAGCAGAACATTTATTAATGGCTAATGATACTTGAGAGTTCTCATTAGAAACATAATACAGGATTCGCAAAGGCTAACTACCTGCGCTACAAGGATCCATTTCAGACCAAAAGACGGTTTTATTGAATGACAGCGTAAGAACATAAAATTAATGTCCTGTGTTACTAGTTGGAATAGGGCACATTTCACACGACTGACAGGAATGTAATCAAACCAAAATACATTAAACCGACGAGCATAGATAAAATTTGCTTCAAACTATAATAGCACATTTTAAACAATGCATATATTACACAGATAACACATAAAACCTATATTAACGTTGAACTTGTAATTATCGACTATACAGATTTGATGTACAAATGCATGCTCTATATTATTCGTTCTTATTGCATAGTAATGTACAATCACAATATACGCAGAGCCTGTCAATTTTTACTACCGACATTGAGAGAAGTCATAAACCTCATTCACATGGAAATAAAATACGAATGTATCTAGGATGCAGTTGGAAACCCAATGACAATTTGAACAAATATATCGTGCAAGAAAAACTAAATAAAACAGTATATATACAAATCAGACGTATATATATGAATCAAATCACCATAAAAAGCTATAAATGACGCATTGAAGGTATTCCAAAAAAATTACATTTGAATATCCATAACTTTCAACATTCTTAATACAAGTTTGTATATTGCGATTTATTGTATCTCAAATCAAAATCATTTCTTTTACTCAAATGAATTTTGCTTTAAGTTTTCTTATCCTTCAGACTTCTTGATGAGAGATTTTCATACACGATTTTTTATAATTGAAATATAATTCATGGCAGTAATGTATTCTGTGTGGTATCATCAGATGCCACATCAGATCTATAGATAAATAAATTAGAACATGTAGATATAATAAATTTATAAATAAATCAACAAACTCACGTGTATTATCAAATCCAGTGATAAAATCAGGACACGGTGCCATTGCACTTGAACCAGCAGGTGTATCTGGCCAACACAGCCAACCGTCAAATGTCCCATGACAATATGGTCCTGCAATAATAAGAGAATAGGGCTATTATTGGAATTATCGGACTGATTTAATATGCTTATTCTATAGTAAAATAATCCAAATTTATGATCACAATTTATATACCATTTTCGATTCGGCCTACATAGCTCGGTAATCTGATGCACTGTATTGGTGAAATATTATATCACATTTTATTTACTAATAGTACAAATAAATATCAAGTAGTTATACTAATTGTAATGGCAAAAAAAGTTGTCAAAAATATACAAATAAAAACTCTATAGTAACAAATTACTTTAAATGAAATTTTAAGTATAATTCTGTTTTAGATCCTATAGGTATATAAAACTAATTTATTGAAGGTGCTGAAAAAGGCATATTGGTCTCTATTCTTTTTAGAAAATCTATAAAAACATGAGAATCTAATTTATATTTCATGATTAAAAAACACTTTTACGTGCTAGGATCTGCGATTACGCTGCAACCAATTTTGTAGTCTTTGGCGACAAATACCTTAATCCCAAGGCGTCTAGATGGCTTCGCATTCAAATTCTGCTGCGCGACTTGGAAAACGGAAGCAGAATGCCATCGGATTACACGGCCGTCGACCGCGATTTATTTTTTTACCGCTTTTTGGTAGTTCTTTCCTATCCTTTTCAGAAAGCTTTTTAGATATGTTGTATCGTTTAAAGGCTTTAATGCAATGCATAATAAATTAGGTGTGGTTATGCAATGTCGGCTAACCACAAGCATTTTTCTTTGCGCTGTTACCAAAAACAAAAGGGGACTATCCTACGTGGCGTCTCCACCGTACTAGTACAAAATTGTACTAAGAAAATAAATTGGACGAATTGAAGAAGCAAGAAGCACAAAATTTTACTATTTGATTTGTATATATATATATATATATATATTGAATAAAATTTGATATAACTGTAACGCACATAGAAGATCGTAAATTAAAATTCATTGAAGTTTCTTCTATCGAAGTACTATAAAATATACCCTGGATTACAACACATGCATAATACATATTACCGTCGGAAATTTTATATGTTTTTCAATGCATAAAACCAAAGCAATAAACAATTTTTTCATAACCCGCTTTATGTGCATTCACATACAAGCATATATGTATTGTAACAGGTATTAAAATAGATCAATATATATATATATATATATATGAGTGAGTTCTTGAGGGCGATACATCAAACAAAGAAAAGCCAAAGATTTATAAAATAATCTTTATTTCCAAACGTTTCGACATTCAATTTAATGTCATCATCAGTGGATCTAAAAACAGTATGAAAATTAGCATATCTAGGTAATTATAATATATGTGGATTGGTAAAGTAACTATACAATAAGAGAAAAATTAACAAATAGCAACACTTAACAACAAATCAAATATAAAAGATAGGAAAGGTAGTAGAGACTAGAATTAAATAAATAATTAAAAAGTATAGGCAAAAATATTTAAGTACACTCATATAAACTTACGCATATATACATATATGTACGTACACATATACACACATATACATATATATATACATATATATATATATACATGCATATATCCATATACACACACATACAAACATATAATACACATATACATATACAGATACAACAATATATACCTATATATGTACACATATACATGTAAGACTATACACATATAAATATACGTATATACATATATGCAACGTGCATGCATATTCACAACGACGTACATGTACATGTATGAACCATACATATACTCATACCTATCTATGTAACTATAGCTATACACGTATACACATACATATACGCATAAACATGTATATACACATATATACACACATATATATACATATATATACATACATATATATATATATACACACGATACATATATATATACATATGTACATAAATGCTCACAAATATATATATATATATATACATATATATACTATATATACATATATATATATATATATATACATATACACATACATATATATATATACATATATATATATATATACACATACATACATGCATATATACGTATATATAATTACATGTATACACATATAAATATGCACATACATACAAACATACATGTAAATAAGCAATATACATATATATACATACATACATACAAATACATATATATATATATATATATAAACATACAATATATGTAAACTCGTATATATGTAAAGCAAACAAATTATTTATGAAGATGGATAATACATATAAAATACAAGTGGACTTACATTACGTTGGTTAGTTACATATAGAGAAGTGTACACAGCACTAGAGATTTGGCACTAACATTTATACAACTAACTTGTCAGCACTATGCATTTTTTATATAATTTTTTTGTATGATGTAAACAGAAAATGATAGTTTTATTGAACAAAAATGTAAGTAGAATTATGTAATTTCTGCCACGACTTCTGTACTTTGCTAGTACCGAGGCATGTATAAAAGTCACCACATGTTTTGAGAGATTTTTAAGGGTCATTCCAGGATTGTTATGGGCGGGTAGGTAGAAAATAGTCGGAAGTTGAAACTAGTAATGTTAGGCTAGGTTTGTATGGTTAGAATTAGGAGAAAAAAATTGGAAATATTATTTAGTATTACTAAGTAGTTATACTAATAACTCAAAAATCTAAAATAAAATTTTTTTAAGGTTTATTCAAAATTTGCTATGTATGGGTAGGTAAAGCTCGGGTATCAAGGTCGAAGTTAAACTAGGAAGTGTTGGCAAGGTTAGTAAGGTCAATTAGTTTTGTTCAGAGGAGATAAATTTGGAAACATTATTTAGTATTACTTGGTAGTTATCGCAGAGTAAGGAGGAATCCGATCTTTTGTTCACCACGTGGTCACATATTGATATGAAACAAGATTCTGCAAAACGTCTCTGAATGGTGTTCCGTTCATGGTAGAGAATACTGGCATTATAAAAGTTAAAGGAGTGTTTGAAATTTTTTATGTGTTCTGTTATCATAGTTTGGTTTTGGTTGGGGTTTTTCGAATTATTGTCGTGTTGTTTGAGTCTTTTTATTAAATTTTGTCCGGTTTCACCTATGTAAGTAGAAGGGCAATCATTGCAATTTATTTTGTAAACAATGTTGGAAGTACGTTCTATACTAGTGGGAGATTTCAGGTTTGTGTAGAGGGATTTAAGAGTTAGATCTATGTTGCAGGTTAGTCTGATGTCTACCTTATGAAAAAGTTTTTTCCACACTGGAAAAAGTTCTTTTACGTAAGGTAAACAAACGTTGCCTATATAGTTATTGTCTTTAGAATTTTTTTCTGGGGAAAAAGAAGAATGCATACTGTTGAGGGTTTTAAGTCTGTTGGAGGTGACGGAGTTGATGAGGTGCGGTGGATATGAGTTGTTAATTAAAGTTGTGCGGATGAGGGATAAGTTAGAGGGCCAAAATTGTTTGTCTGAGAGTAGGATGGCATGGTCGACTAAATTAATAATAGTGCCTATCTTCATGCTAGAAGGGTGGTAAGAATGATAATTTAAATACCTACCCGACCAAGTAGGTTTTTGGAACCAATTGGTGATAATTCGATTGTCTGCGGTTTTTATAATTTTTACGTCTAAAAAGCTGATAGAATTTTCTTGTTCTTTTTCAAACGTAAAGGAGATGCTCATTAAATGAGTTAAAACTATGAAGTAAGAGTTCGAAATTTTTAACAGGAACACAAGTAAGGATGTCATCAACATATCTGTAATAAAAATGAAGGTCTAGATTGTAGGAATTAAAAACTTTCAACTCTAAGTGTTGTAAAGCAATTTCTGCGAGTGAAGGGGAAATAGGAGAACCCATAGGTGTGCCAAATATTTGAAGGTAAAATGGTCGTTGAATTCGAAATAAGTATTCGAAACTATGAATTTTATGGACTCGAGAAACCAATGCAGTGATAATGTTGTATGACAAGAGATTTCGTCCCATCTAGCAGTGATGGCATCTAAAATTAATTGTAGGGGGACGTTTGTGAATAGGGATACTACGTCAAGACTAACCAATAAGGAGTTATCAGGAATAACGGAATCGCGGAGATTGTTGACAAGTTCAAGGAGTTTTTTGTAAAGAAACGAGACTTGACTGTGACTGAAGAGAGTATGTTGCTAAGGTATTTGGAGAATTTTGAAAGAGGTGAGTTCAGGTCAGCCACGATAGGTCTGAGAGGAACGTTGTGTTTATGTATTTTAGGAAGTCCGTAGAGTTTGGGGTTGTAAGGGTGAAGGTTTTTAATTGTCAGTGAGATTTGTGGAGTAATTTGTTTGTTTAGAGACTAAGTTGTTTACAAATTTGTGAAAAGTACGGTTAATTCGGTCAGTGGGATCGGAGTTAATAGGAGAATATGTTTTGTGTCTGAAATTAATTCGGAGACTTTTTCAGGTACGTGGTTTTTTCCAAAATGACTGTGATATTCCCCTTGTCGGCCCTCGTAATTAAAATGTTAGGGTTTC